ACATTAAATGGAATTAAACACATTATTTACATAATACAAATAACCATGTAATATGTAAAATACATTCATATATAAATGACTAAAATAAAAATAAATAAACATTACAAACCAAAATAAAATACAAAATAAGTAATTAAGGGACTAAAACAAATTAAAACATAAATTCGTAAGGGCAAACAATAAATTTACCTAAAGTATTTATACTAAAACATTGACCATAATGTAAACAAAGTAAATTAAAAATACTAATTAAAATAAAGAAAGGTAACATTCAGTGACTGAAATGAAACATTTGTAAATATTAAAACCAGAATCGAACATAAACAAAATAGTATGATATATAGCATGAGGGACTGAACAATAATTAAACCAAATACCCAACAGTGACTAATATGTAAATACATAAATATCCTGTCCAAATTCGAACATTCACAAAAATACACAACACACGAAATTAGTGACAAATGAAACTATTACAAACATTGGGACCAAAGTCAAATATCCACAAAAATGACATAACATACATTAATAGGACTAAAATAAAATATTTATAAATGTGATGGCCAGATTCGAATATCAAAGAAACATACATGAAATATTAAATCAGTGGCTAAGATGTAACATTTATAAATACTGAAACCAGAACCAAATATAAACAAAAATGTTATAATACCTAGGATAGTGACTAAAATGTAAAAGTGAAAAGATAAAGGCTCAAATTGAAATAATGTAAACTTCATTCCATGGCTAAATCGTGCGGTTACAAAGGATCAGGGACCAAAAGTGACATTAGACCCTAAAAACCCAAAACACGCGGGTAAGTTTACAAAGCTAGGAGGACTAAAAGTGTAGTTATCCCATAACTCGAAAACACGGATGGGGTTGAGGGCAAAACGGTCGCGTTTCAGGTGGGAATTAAAAGCCCAAAACATGGGCTAAATTCTTCTCATCCTTCATTTGCTTCATTTGAAAAGAGAGAAGAGAGATAGAGAGTTTCAGAGTTCTCTGAAACTCTCTCAACCGAAAAAAGGCCACGGCAGCCGAAGGCTCCCACGGCGGGGCCGACGGTGGCGCATGGCAGCGCACGGCTGCCGGAGGAAGCCAAAAGACTCAAAACTCCTCCGCTCTCACCCTCTACTCGAAAACCAACCCTAATCGGCCTAGAATAAACCCTAACCTCCTAAATCTAGATGGTTACCTTTGAAAGAAGCGAAAAGGCCGCCGGCTTCTGGGCTTTCCGACGATCTCCGAACCCAGGTACGAATATTTCTTTCTCTATTTTGTGGTTCTCAGTTTTTTTCTCTCAAGGTTGTTTGCTTTTTCTTTCGTTTCCCTCTGTTTTTCTTTTTTTTTTCCTTGGTATTTTCCTTCTTTTTTTTTCTCTGAACCCGAATGAATCCCTTGTCCTTGCATGTCTCTTTCTTATGGTCTTTTTTGCTGAGAATCATCATCTCCATTTGATAGGAATCACGTTCCTAGGCTCGGGTTAGTACCAAAAGCCAAATATTTAGGGATTTAGGACTTTTTTAATGGGTTTTCAGATTTGAGGGTGATTTGGTCCACTGTTGATGATGTTTTATTTTCTGTTTGATTGGTTCTGCTGTAGATGACGATAGTGGAGCAGTTGGGTCGGCGGCTGGACCATCGGAGTGGTGGCTCGGTGATTGGCTCACTGCTGGGAAGCTGAGGAGTTGAAGTCGCGGCGGCTGGGAGACCAAACGGCTGAGCTGATGATATTTTAGGGTTTCAAACCCTAAGCTTTGTGTGATCTGGACCGTTGGATGGGTCCAGATCCAATGGCCAGAAATGAGGCGGCTGGGCGTTGAGGGGATTAGGGTTGAAACCCTAATTTGTTTTAGGGTTTGAAACCCTAATCGATTTTAGGGTTTGAAACCCTAATCTGCTTTAGGGTTTGAAACCCTAATCTGATGGGTTGGGTTGGTTCAGGGTACTGGGCCATTAGGTTTAGCTAGTTGGGCTCCGGGAATGGACCTTCTGTAATCTGGGCTTTAGTGGCCTACAAAAATTTGTAAATGTAAATTAAATAATAATAATAATAATAATAATAATAATAATAATAATAATAATAACGATAATAATAATATACAAAAAAAGGACCCGGACAAAAACGGGTGTCTACAATAAGAAAGATGGGTATGAAACTCGAGCTCGATGAGTTTCGACTCGACTGAATTGATTGGGTCATTTTAAAAAAATCGGGTTCGAATAGAAACGGGTCGGGTTTTTTTAATGACGAGTTACTAAAATAAAGAAAAAAAATATTAAATGTTAGGTATAGTTCTGTTTTTTTTTTAAAAAAATTAGGTATTAAAACAAACCAAAACTTATTATAGTTTAAATACTAAATACGTAGTTTACCCTTCTTTTATTAGTTAGTTGATTACAATTTAAATCCATAACGATATTTAACGCACCTAATGTTACATTTCCTAAATCAACTGATAGGATTAATTATTATTTTTTTATTAACGTGAAATGATTATAAGATAATATTTATTTAAATTTTTTATTTGTTATTGACAATTAATAGACACTCTATACTCTATGGATATAATTTTTAATTCAAATTCGTTAAAGAAAATATTATTCCCATTTTACGAATGAAATCACTGAATAAATTGTGTTCAATATTAAATTTAAATTCAATTAACAACTAAAATTAATAAAAAAATATTTTGAAATTAATTATAATAATGATAAATATTATTTGATACAAAATTACATTTGTCTCATATAACTTGTCTAATAAATAAATCTATTATTACTGATACTGTTTTTTGTTATAAGTATTATTATTAAGGGTTAAGTACACAAATGGTCCCTAAATATAGGATATTATTTTATTAAGTCCATCGACTATTAAAAGTTACAAAATGTCACTAGTCGTTAAAAGTTACAAAATGTTCACTCGGCTATTCACTATGTTTCAAACTCATCATTGTTTGTTAAAAAATTGACGTATTCTCAGCTGAACGTTAACCTACTTATCGTGATATGATAAAATTTGATCCTAGAATCTCAAATGACTATCATATCTCAGTAATCATATTAACTTATAGCTTAAACAACCATTAATTTTTTAACGGAAAACGAAGAATTTAGAAAATAATAAATAGGCGAGTGATCATTTTATAACTTTTTAATATTCAAAGAACTTAATGCAACAACATTCTATAATCAAAGAACTATTTTATAACTATTAATAATTGAGTAACTTAATAAAACAATATCAAGTAGTCTATGACTATTTGCATACTTCACCATATTATTAATAGATTGACTCTCACTGACGATAGATTTTTCACTTATGTGGTGAGCTCGATGGTAACGTGCAAGTCGAGAAAGCCTAAATTACCCTAAACTTCAAGACTAACCCTTTGGTTGATCTTACATGTAATGTAATTTAATTTCCATATTAGTATATAAAACGCCGCTCCACTAGCGTACTACACCACGGCATCTTCATTTCTTTCTCAAATGGCTGATGAAACAGGGTCGAGATGGGAAGGAAAGGTCACGGCGGAGCTAAAAGCCTCAACGGCGGAGCAGATATGGCCGTTCATAGCTGAATTCTGCAACTTGGACAAGTTTTTCCCTTCGGTTGATACGTGTTACCGGAAGGAAGGCACTCCCGGTCAGCCCGGTCTGGTCCGTCACTGTGAAGGCAAGAGCGGTTGGGTCAACGAGAAGCTTTTGAGCATCGATCCGATTAACCACTCGCTAAGCTACGAGATCCTGGAAAATAACATCGGGTTCAAAAACTACGTCGCCACTTTCAATTTGGTGCCGGCGGGAGGCGGTGGGTGTAAGATCGAGTGGTCGTTTGTTTCCGATCCGATCCTAGGGTTGAGATTGGAAGACTTGGTTTCTCTTATTGATGATACTCTGCAATTCATGGCTAAGAAAATGGAAGAGGCTGCACTTGGTCAAAGCTAGACGTTGATATAGCTGTGTTTTTATCGGTTTGTGTTTTGTTTATTGCTTCTAAATTAACGTTGTACTGCTGGGTCTTGTCTGGTTTCCATGTGCCAAAACCTTGCATTTTATTTTAACTTTTATGCAAGGTTTGATATCATTGTATCTATTTAAATATAATTCTTAATTATTTAATATTAAATATTCATAATTTTTATTTATAGTACTCAAACTCAAGATTTAAAATAATAACAATAATTTATTTATTATAGAGATCATTTAATTCGTATTTGTTAAATATTTTCTTAATAATAATAGTATGATAGTGTTGAATATAATAATCTTTCATATAAAGTGGGTTTAATTGTAAACGTAGTGATTTCATTTGTTCATATAAAAAATTATCTTAATCACATATTAGCATATCTTTTGGTTTTAATATGTAGTGGATTTGGACTGATGGTCTACATTAATCAATAAAAGGACTGGAAGGCACTAGATAAAAGTACATTGAAGTATAAAGACGAGGCTGCTTTAGTAATCTTGAGTATACTGAAGCTCAATTACTTCTATATTATTATTATTTTTTTGTTATCCTTTCGGTTCTAAGATTTTGTCCTTCGAACTGATTCACGTGGTACATTTGATTTTAACGAGTGAATCTGACAGCTGAGATTTTATACATACACAAAGACTTGAACATGATACATTTGCTTAAACGATATCAAACTAGATATCAAACTACTCGCTTTGCATGGTATGTCAACGCATCTCCGTTTCTTCATCTCTCTCTCTCATCAAATGGATGAAGAGGGTTCCAAAATGAGAAGTCCATGGCGGAGCTAAAATGCTCAACACCGGAGCAGATGTGGCCATTCCTAGCTGAATTTTGCAACTTAGACTAGCTCAACCCTTCATCTGATACAAGTTATCGGAAGGGGCTCCTGGTCGGCCCAGTCTGGTCGGGGAAAATTATTATTTTATACGAGTCTCAATTAAAAAAAACATCGTATGTATTATGTTTTATTATCAGTCGACCCCAAAAATGAAAACAAGCACACGGATAACCAAACACTAAATTTCACACAATACAATTGTATATAATTATAAACATGTATCAATCAATCGCCAAATGCATCGATCGAATTAAAAGCAAAATGAACAAGCAATGATGCAAAGAAAAAGAACAGGTTCTCCAGAATTCTAAAGAGTAGATAAGATTAGAGCTGAAGGAATCTCATATATTGACATAATTGAATCTTGTAATAATCAAATATTATGCACCAACCTTTCCTCATGGGCAAGCCCTTGGAAAATACTCTGCTTCTATGGTTTCTTTTTATCTCCCAACTTTGCATCTTGGTGAGAAGCGGCCGGTTTTCAGCACCAACATTCCCGCTATACTACACAAGATTAGTGCAACATCGTTAGGCATTTGCAGCCAACCCGGTATGGCATGCTAAGCATTTTTGACAGGATCTATCTCGGAAAATATATGGAATTACAAGAACAATATTGCAGGCGCTCACTGTTGCACGATATGCGGCCTTCGTTGGTTTGCTATATACATCAAACTCAAGATAGCTAAAGTTTCTTGGGTAGATTGTATGTCTTTTTTAGGAACTTAGAAGCTGTCTCATCATTCCGGTAACATAACACGCGTAGAAGAGTGTTTGGCTCAGTAGGGTTCCACTGCCCTGATGTTGGAGGTAGTGGAAGCCTAGATTTTGCAGAAGAGCCGTATGTCTCCAAGGTCACACGTCTGAACTGCTCAATTAAGCTATCTGTATCGGTTCTAAAGAGGGGAAGGACTCCTCTTGCAGTAGCTGAAAACTTATCTATGAGATCGGCAGGCAAACCATCTCCATTGGCCCAAAATAGATCTTTAAGGGCTTTGAAATCATCCTCTATAATTTGAGAATCCTGACGAGTGAAAGCACGAGAGGGGCCTCCAGCAAGTAAAACCAGCAAGAACCCATCACATGAAGCTTTCATGATATCAGTTATGATCCTAGTACGAACTCTTTCATGCACGGTGTCAGAGATGATCAACAAGTTTTGCTCTAGTTCCTGTAATGAAGGGTCAATCCTAGAAGTCGATGGCTCCCCAATATACAAACCATCCCATAAAACATGACTTAGGTCATGGAATACGATTTTGTAAGCTACTGCCTCTGATAATTGCTGAACCCCTTCCACACAAGCAGCTGGTGTTAGTTCAAATTTCTTGTTCAAACCATTAGAAAAATCTTCCACATGAGCAGACTCACAGTTCCTCAAGTGGGCTATGATCCTCTTTTCTAGAACATCCATCTCAGATCGGATACGATGCAATGTATTTATACGAACACAGAGCTGTGGCACCCCAAATGAATTATCTCCGTTCATTGTTGTAACCTGAGAATTTCTCTTCTGTGAGTTTTGTAACTTTTCTTTCTTCTTCCACACACCTTGGAACTTTGATCCTATCTCACATCTAGTCAATGCAGGCATTGTGGGGATATATGTAGTGCGTGAACCTACATGTTAGATTAAAAGGTAAAATGTCAGAAACTCTAAAAACTTCATCTGCCTTATTGAGATCATTTATTATATTTGCAAGCACATACCACAGCCCGATTTTGCCTTGGTTATGTAATATTGAAGACACCTGTCAAGGCCAACCATCAAATCAGGTAGCAATGCAGGATGTGTTGGTATTGGTAGCTGAAAAAATGCATCCAAAGTTTCATCAATGATTCTCAAAATTTCGACAGCAGAGGGGGCATATCCTTCTTGATTTGCTTGTGGGCTCCAGACCTAGTGTCATGCAATGTGTTGTTTAGCAGTAATAATAATAATAAATAAAAACATATTTAGAAAAACCTGAACCAGCAATTCAGTAGATAGCTACTCAGTTGCATGGCCAAACAAATTTCAAAAGGAACTGAGATTCGGAAGATACGAATTTCAGATAAATTTTCATCCAAATGACAAGAATAGTAAGCGCATACCTCTTGTTGCAAATTCCGGTCAACCCATTCCTTAAGTCTGTCAACTCTTGTCTTGATCCACCCTTTAACAAGATTGCTTATAGCAGTTTCAGCCTCATAAGGAGGCATCTCGCGGATTATTGCCTTCCCACCATCATCACTGTCTACTGCATCCTCAACTGCAATCTGCACGAGATCCTTCTCCAGTTTATCTGCAGCTCTCAGTACTTGAACAGAATCAGGGGTCAACTCCGTAATGCCAGATATAAACTGTTTTATCTCATTTGCATAACACACATGGAGGGTGGCCACAGCCACACCTGCTGCCAAAGGATGCCAACCCTTCAATATTGGACTGAAAACCTGCTTCTCATGAACAGCTAGCTCACCAACATCTTTAGCAAGGATTGCAAGGACAGGAAGAGGATTCAACTGGTTTCTGGAAGCTCTCCTGCTAGAGTCTGCTTTCTCCATTATCTATAAAACAACTCGCGTAGTCATTAAACCAACTAAAAGGAGAACTACGAGGAGAAAGAGTATTCAAACACATGTTACATTTGTTACATTCCAAGTCTCATACATCTAAGAAATTTGTACATATGCATGACAATTCAGACACTATATATAGCAAAAGCACTCAATTTTTCCCTCATAACATCAATAAACAGGCCAATAGAAGAATATAAAGACTTGCCTGAGCAAAAGCAGTGCGCAATGAAGACCTGATGTAAGTGTCAATTCTGTTTCGAGCTACATCAACTTCTCCTTTCCTCTTTCTGCGATACTCAGTGGATACATCCTCAACCAAAATCTTAGCTGCTGATACACCTAAAGAAATGATTCCCTGCATGGTATAGATATTTCCACTATCAAAAGTGTCATGATAAGCAAGGAGTCGTTTCTCTGCCCAGCCCAGTATTGAAGTCAATGTAGAACTTAATATCTTGGAGTAATCTGGATCTTTGGTTGCCTTGGCATCTTTTGCTACATCCGCTAGCTCACTATCGGCAGCATATAGTAAGTCCATTTCGACTTGCCCAGTGGCAACAAAACGGTGAAACAGGACCCATGTAAAGCAGAGGTTGTGGAGCATTTGATTAATCCCAAGGATCACCCATGTCTTTTTTATATGCTCCATAAGCTCATCAACTTCCTCGATAATAGATGTCTCATCGTTAATATCGAAGCATGTCTCCAAAAGGATTTCATAGAGTCTAAGATTTAGTGGAATACCATCAGCCCAGTGGCATGAATCAGAAAAAGACCCATCAGATCTGGAAGCAAGAGACATAACAGCAGTGCGAAGAACTTGCATTGACTCATTGTTCTTTCCCGTTTCTATTGGCCTATCTAGGGCTGCATGGATGATTTGCCGTAGCCTTTGTGATGCATTATTTGAATTATCAAGTGGTACACGAGGATGCAACAGTAAACCAGCTTCAAGAACCTTGAGGTTTCTCTTTTGCCATTCAACATATTCTTGCTGATCAGTAAAATCAGATTGCTTGAGCTGCTGCAATAGCTCCAATGGAAGAACAACTGACTCGATCCGCCTTCCAACCTATCATTCCACCATAGTCAATGCTAATGAAAAAAACATAGCAGTTACGATAAATCAATTAAGCACCAATAAAATTACAAGTAAGAATCATAAAGTTCATCAAAGCCCTACTATTTCTCTTCTTAAATTAAATAATCTTAATGAGTTCCGCAAACACTGGAGAATTTACATTATCATACCATCATTCGGGATTAAATTATAGAATCAAATTTACTTAGATTGTAAATCGTAACTATTTGTCATAATCGTACTATTGGATTAGGATCCAATCGCATCTACTTTAACATTATAAATAAATAAAATTGGTTTGCTCAGAAGCAGTATTATTTAGATCTAATAAATCGTAATTGAAAACATTCGGATCAACCAAAATTCCATTTTTTTTAAAAAAATAACAATAAGTTAAATTGAGCTGACCAGGCCACCACCGATTCTCAGAAGCGATCTTCTAACTCGCGAATCGATGGTCTCAGGTATCCGCATTTGAATCCTCATAAGCTCCCCTACGGTCAGAGGCCGCTTAGACTTGCCCTGTCCCGAGCCTGGCCCAGAACCCGGGCTCTTCTTAGAGCCCGATGAAGAGCCCGGCGACTTCAATCCTAAAGCCTTCTTCATCTTACTAGCAGCCACTGATGTAAGCGAGCGCTGCAACGCGGACGAGTTAGGCGAGTGGTTGTGGTTTTCACTAGGCGAGTTTAGACTGGGGGACTCGGAATTGAAGGAGGCGGAAGTGGATAGAGGTTTGGAGGAGGAGGTACGGCATACAGCGAGGAAGACATCGTAAGCAGTGAGTCTAAGGTCGGAATCAGTGAGTTGAGAGGCGAGTTGGCCGAGTGGAGATTGGAGATCTGTCGAGGTGAGCCTGCTAGGCATTGGTTGAGGCATAGTGTGCAGTGGCGGTGGCGTCGGCGCCGACTCTCTCTTTGAGTGACCGAGTGAGAGATCTCTGAAGAGATGCGCCATTGAATCAATTCACCGAGAGCGACAGAAAATAAAGACCGACACGAACGAGTCACTGAGTTAGAACATTGGACTCTTTGAGAGAGAAAAAACTGGTGAGAAGAAAAATATAGGATTTCAAATTATATTCTATCCTTTTAGGTTTGTTAAATTGAAAAATAAAAATAAAATATCAAACTAAACCTAACGGGTCAAATTGTAATTTTGATCCTTCACTATGCTAAAATTTGATATTAAAACCTACATATTTTAATTTAATACATTTTGGTCCTTCATTGTTCACTTAAAGTGATGGAGTCCTATTCTGTCAATCTAATTTGTATTAAAAAATAAACATTATTATATATTATTATTAACACAAAGATGTAAACTTTTTAAATATTTTTTTGAATAGTTTGGGTCGATTACAAGTTAGTCTTTGTTTATAACTTTTTTATACGTTAACAACACACATACCATATTGACAAAATTATTCGAACCATAAACCTTTATGAAGAACAATATCTCTTTTTCCACTGAAGTAGCGTGACGGGATCAACATTTTAAATAATCCTTAAACATTATGTTAACATGCAAACTTTGTATTGAATTAAGTTATTTTCGACTGATTTTTTTTAGAAAATTAGACCTCAACAAAATGATAGCATTTTGGAATATTTGGTTAAAGGGTTATAGTTTAGGGAGCAAATTTAGAATTTGACCAACTTAATTATGTCGCAGTAATTATAATTTCATGATTTTCTTCCAAAAGCAATAGCCTTAATATATACATTGATACACTAATTTGGTCACTTCGTCATTTGGGCATCTGATTTTCTAGACCATGAAAAAAAATCACTATCACAAAATTGTATATGATGTTAATATGGTATTTCACCATCCAATCATAGATGGCCACGTTATCAACATTTTGACCAATTAATGTTATATTAATAATTTAATTGATTGTTAAACTGTCAGGTGGGTATGATATGAATTTGATTTTTTATAAAATTCATGTACCAATTCGGTCTAAAAAGATCATGTATTAAATTGATAAAGATTATAAAATTTAGGCACCGATTTGTATATTAAACCTAATTAGGCGCGACAGTGAAGAGCGATTGAAGCTCATGACGCGCGACCGACCAATCTTTTAATGCAAGCTGGAAATGGAGAAGTAAAAGGGAAGGAAAGATTTATTTAGGGTAAATTCACTATTAGTCACTGAACTTTAGATTATGTGTTGATTTCCATCGAACTTTACACTCCAATATAAATATTGAATTTTTAAAAAAAAAAATATCTCATATATTTTTTTAATAATTTAGGGTAAATACATGGTAATATTTGTTCAAAGATACTATGATCGCTCATACCCCTGACATCTATGGTGCTCGAACCCGAGTCCTCAATAAATAACAACAATTTATTTATCATGGATGTCACTTTAATTCATGCTTATCTTATCTTCTTCTTTACTAAAATAAGATTTTTTATGTATTTTCAATCGTCGCCAGAAAATCTTCATTTTTAAAGTTTTTGTGACTATTTTTCATTAATGAACTTGTCTTATCATCGTTTATCATTTTATCATTTTATATTTTCAAAAATCTTTAAAATAGATGAAATTAAAACATTTAAATTATTATTTTGAGGTTTAGGGGAGTTTTTTTTAACTTTATGGAATTTGAAGTGTTTATTCAAAAATTCAAACAATGAGGAAGATTATTTCAAGAAGAAAAACAATATACCTCGAAAACTAGTCTCATTGGACAATAGTTGAGGGAGGTCAAAGCATCAGAATATCGATATTTAGATGTTTTTAATTCACTTTTAGTGAGTTTATTCAAAAAAATAATAATCTCAAATAAAGAGGAGTGAAATGTAAATATTTTTATATCAATTTTGACGTAAATGTCAACCGATAATAAATGATGATTGATTAACAGTGACGATCAAAAGAATTGACGATTTTATATAGAAAAATGAGGGAAAATATTACATCATTATATCGTTATTGGTTTAATTATTCAGTGCCCTAGTTGAACCTCAAATTAAAGTTCATTGCTTAAACTAAAACAATTTTAAATTCGATAACTATTAGTGTAGTTTACCCTATACACATTTAGTACCTAAACTATCAGTTTTGGAATGTTTTAGTACTTAAATGTTCAATTTTTTTCAAAATCATACATAATGTTTAGTTTTTGTTTTGTTTTAGTACCCCCATTAATAAAAACTTAACGGACAAACTAACGAGGCATAACTCTGATAGACAGACGACCAATCCGAACAGTTGACCACAAGAGAATAACGAGTCGACCATCATAGTTCAGTTTTAAGCCCATCGGACGATTGACGACGAATATCAGATGATAAAGAAGTTGAAGAGTCAATCGTCGATTTGGGGAGATTGAAGCATTTTCCAATGAAATAGAGACTTAAATCACGTACAGTTGGTCGAAAAAGGTGTGGGTTAGAAAGTTTAAGCTTCATTGGTTGACAGATGCGATGGTCATAGACTATAGATTCGACGACCGACGAATCCGTCCATTAAGTTTTTAATGACAAATACTAAAATGAAACAAAAACTATATGTTGAGTATAGTTTTGAAAATAATTAAAAGTTTGGATACAAAAACGAACCAAAGATGATAATTTAAGTGCTAAATATATGATTCACCCTAAATGTTATTGATGGCGGGGACAGGGACCACGCGCAGCTGTTATATACAGCGGAGAATTTGTTTAGTTTAAATTATAGTTTATTTTAATTAACGTATATAATTCAAAGCTGTGATTGTCAGTGCCAGAAAATCTACAGCCTTTTCAATTATTATTAGAGACAGCTCAATTACATAAGATATAGTATTAATTTACTTTAAAAGAGATCAACTTGCTCAACTAGAATTTATAAAATTATCATGCAGATTTATTATTTGTCATTTAAGAAAAATATACCTACGCTAATTGGGTTTTAAAATAAAAAAAATTAAATATGTCAAAATTCTACATAAAAATAAGATTATGTAACATCAAATTTGTCGTGTTTATTTCTATTTATTAAATGTATCACATGTTAACATTGTGTTGGTGTTTCAAAAAATAAACTAATAAATTTATTAGTTCATATTGTATCACGTGCAGTTTCTTAGGCTGCTGCTTTGTATTCTTAGCCGACCAAACCGTGATTGATATTTTATTTAATTATTCTTTCTATTTTTAGTCAACCAAAAGTTACAAAATTATTATCTTATTATTTATTATATTCTAATTTATCTTTTATGTTGAAACGTTGACAATTGTTTAAATCGAATGTTAACGTGATAATTGAGATATAATAATCGTTTTAGATTATAAGATCATATTTGATTATATTACAGTTAACACTTAACAGGATAAAATTCAACTTAAAATACCGTAAATTTTTTTAACGAAAAATAACAAGTTTGGTACATAATGAATAGTTTAATAGTTATTTTGTAACTTTTAACAGTCGATTAACTCAACAAAGTAACACTCTATAGTCAGAAGACAATTTTATAACTTTTAATAGTCGAGAAACTTAATAAACGCTAGCGGTTTTAGTTTAGAAGTAAATCGGCTGCTGCGTTTTATTCTTGGCCAACCAAAACATGATTGATATTTTATTTAATTATGGAATAATAATGAGAACAAATTCCCTAGCAAAATCTCATCATCTATGTAAACAATATGAGGTTCACTTACCTGGATTTCATTTGGAAAACTCTATTGTACCAAACTGAGTGAAGAATCATATGAAATACGTCGTACTTCTCAGGCTTGGTATGCCAAAGAAAATGTTTCTGTATCTTTTTTACTCTCGAATGCATCTGCAGATACCGCTCTTCGGGGATCGATAAGAGGATCTTCTTCAAATTCAGAATATCCTTTTCTAAAACGAACACGGCGAATGATTCCCAGTTCAAAACCTCGAAAAACGGAGGCACAAAATTGTCGGCAATGATCACCGGAACGCATTCGTAGAAAATGGCCTCCACCACCCTTGGAGTGTGAACCTTGTATCCTCTCACGCAAAGGCAGTACTTGCTGCTCTTCATGTGCTGAATGTAGTTCATTTTCCCCTTGACATTAGGCATTTTGCCAAAGATTTTCATGTCGGGATCTTTGTTTCCCCACTGTTCTAGCAGAATCGGCCTTAGATAACCATGCATACTTCCCGCAAAGAAAGCCAGGATCGGTCTATTAGACGGACGGTTGCCGCCGAGGTCTTCAAGAGGTTTCTGCAGGTTCCGGACATATGTCACGGGAAGAGATGCATCCTTGCTGAAAATATAACCTTCTGTAACATCAGCATTGCAGAGGGATCGTATGCAATTGGCCATGGGTTCCCTTGTTTCAGATGGTGCCTGAGAGAAGTAGTGCATGTTAGAAGATAGTTCCAGTAAAAAAAAAACTGAGAATCATTGCGTCAGTGTATGAAAAACATCAAACCATGCTGCCATTGACATGCAAGCTTACAAACAAAGAGATACACAGGCCTGTATATTAAGATATACTAGTGCTATGTCTAATAGATCATAGATGGACTACCTGAAATTTATGAACAGTTCAAAGTCCGTGAAAAATGTAATGGCCAGAAGCAAAAAAAGAATGAATAGCATTACCCAGTCATGGCAAGCAACCAGAAAATGATCAGCTCCTTCAGTTCTATTCCAGAAAGGGTATTTTGCTGCAATCGTGTCCACGTAGTTCTTCAAATACTGTATAAGGTTCTTAGGACTTTCAGGCTCATAATCGTCTATGGTTTTGTTTAACATTCTTGAACTAGAAGGCAAGTAGGCATCTCTTGGGGTTTTGGTGACAAATTTTTCTGCAATCGTTTCCACATAGTTCTTCAAATTCTTTATGAAGTTCTTAAGACGGTGATAATTGTATAAGGTTTTCTTTAACATTCTAGAGCTAAAAGGCAAGTAAAACAGGTGGGCATCGCTTGGGTTTTCGGTCACAAATTTTTTATTAGTTTTCAGTTGCTTCATGAACCATCCTTCAGAGCCATAAATACTCTCGAGAACCGGCATATGTAGTATGGGTTTTTTCCCTTCCTTATAGACATATACTTTGAGTGTCCTTTCCATCAATTCATAGCTCCTGAAAATGATAATGTAAATTGTTTATACCTTATGTAGTTGTATACTGATAACTGGTTCTGTTCACCGCAAACTTAACACACTCAACTCAATAAGTACTCTGTTTTTTCTAGTAATACAGTTCAGTGCAGTGCTAAAAAATGAAAGAGAATACCTTTTGAACATAGAAACATTCCGATAAAGAGGTGCATAAAGTTGGGGATCGTTCTTTATAATGGGTGCATTCTCGATTTGGAATCTTGCTTCTAGTAGAACTTTATCAGCTCTTGAAGACCATCCTGGTGCCTACAAACATGGATATAAAAAAAAACAGTAAAATATAGAACTAAATTATCACTTTGTGATAATGGAAATCTAAACGTATGAGAATACCTTCGATTCGTATGAAATGCGGCTCTGATAAAGCAAATTATTCATATCAGCTATTGTAGTTACTGCTGGTGGCATCTCAGGCTTTTTCTCTATCTTGGAAGCTTTGGGGGGAGAAGAATCATCACCTGATTCGGTGAAATTGTTCTGCATCTCTTTCAATTTCTCATTATTGTCTAAACTTGGCGTCCCATGTTGCTCCACTGAAGGCATACTGGAACTGGAAGTCACAATAGGAATGCTAACGTTTGTATCAACATCTTTTCCTAAGGTAGTGTTAGTTGTACCGAAGCATGTATCTGAGGACAATGCACTTACCAGTGACTCTCTTGATGAGTCTCTAGAAGAAATGCTAGCCTTACCTGATATAGAAGATCTATCCAAGCCTAGTTTTGGTGTGAAACCATCTTCAGACACCCCATAGTTATTCGATTTAGCAGTTTCATTAGCAGCACCAGTTTGGTTCAGATTGTTTAAACTTGTGATATCACCTCCCTTCTCAGACTCCTCTGATTTGGAACATTCACCATACTCCACAATTGTATTATTATTTGACTCAACCAGTACAGCAGTTGAAGATTCCTTCGGAGCACCGATACCCTCATCAAATGCCAAAGATTTATTTGGGCCCACATCTGCTTCTGATCTAACATCATCATTGAAACCTATGCCTTTCCCTTCAAAGATCTCAGCATCTTGAGCTGTCCCATTAGCAGCAATTGTACCATTAAAGTCCGAACCAGACTCGGCAGATGACTGACTGATATCTAAGAAGCTACTTTGTTCCTCTACTGAAACCTTACTGGATGACGGAAAAGCATTGTCGTATGGAAGTTCAAGATACTGGAATGTTACAATCACGGAAAAGGTTATTCCTATAAGCCATATCAGTTTCCTGGTATCCAATTGAAACCAAGATTTAAGTTCATGCCCCATTGAGAAACCAGTCGATCAATTGTCAACTGATTAAAACGCTAATATCATCCACTGCATTGTGTTCCCCAGTCCCTGAATTAGTCAAAATGAAACTCCTTCACTAAAGTGAGAGAACTATAACTTGGAAATGGGAGGTGCTTAATGAGTTGAGCAACTCGTGAGTAGTTCGAATTCGACTCGGTAAAAACCTAGACTCGAACTGTAGCTTGACTCGAGAACTTAACGAGTTGAGTCGAGCAAAGCCCAACTCGAACTCGACTCGATAAATTTGCAAGCAACTGGTTAACTTTTTTATATAATTTTTTAGTATTTATCTTAATGATTTACTAATAAATAAAAAAAATGATAAATGGTTAATCTATTAGTTTTCTAATAAACAACAAAAAATATTAAATTATTAATTAATATTTTACTTTTTTTATAAATATTTAATATTTTACTATTCAAAGATAAATCTTATTTATTATTTTAATGTATTTGTGGATTGTTACGATAGAGTTTAGACTTTGAAAATATGAAATCGAGCTTAAGGAGCAACATGCTTTTTGCTGAGTAAAATTTTAACGAACTTAAAAAGCAACAAATTGAGTCGAGCAACCAATTATTTTAAGGAACACGAGTTGAGCACTTTCCAACACACGATCAACTAGCTCATAACGATAAGCACCCCTACTTGGAAATTTCAGAGACATAATGCAATCAAAAGGAGCTTATAGATGTACTAATCAGGATAAATTGTTTGAACTATAAACTATTCGTAAAGTCGAAAGAAGGATTAAACTAAGATAAATTTCTATTGACTGCTAAAGGAAACATAGGACTTCACTCGTATTTTTCAATTATCGATCTAACGCTAGTTCTTTCGCCTGTTTGTCTTTTCCATTAATTAAGCATGCAGATCCAGGGGGGAACACAGAGAGAAACGACAATAGAAGAGGAAACGCAAGATCAATGATCAACTAAAACTTACCGGAGAAAAAATACGTACGATTTTTCGGTCATCGAACCCTCGTCCTTCAAACTTCTGTTTGGTCAGCAAGAAAACAAGGATTGAAAAAAATCTCGGAAAGTAAGCACTGAATCCTCTCCAAGAGATGGATACTGAACAGATCCAAAAACTAGAAGACCGAGTTTTCTTCGAGTCTCTTCACTTTATTTGTTTTTCCTTTTTATTCTAATAAAGATTTATATTTTCTCAGGCTCTCAGCAGTCAAACAATCGGGTCGTTCTGCGGTGCGGCGCCTAAAAAACGGCTAATATACGGCGTGACCGGTTAAACAAGTGACCGGTTAAAATTTAGACCGGTTATGTTATATTATTTAACCGGAAATATTATAAAGTACAATAACATACTAGGTAGCGCTTATATAATGTAATAGGTAGCGCTTATATTTACCTATTTTATAAGTAAACCAGTATATTTATACCGATAGCATTGCAAATTTACCTATTACATTATATTATATTGAAAGTGTCCATACTTTTTATAAAAAGGATCGATACTTTAACAGTGTTTCATGTTTTCCACCTACAATATTGATTTAATAATTTCATTTGCACAAAAAATTATTTGATTGTTTTGATATTTTATAAAATATTATTAGAATTTTAATTTAATAATAATATACCGTAACGTAAAAAATAAATCATTAGACGCCTATAATTACTAAATTAATATCTTAAAACTCACTCAAAAGATAACCTTAAATTAATGTTTTCCACAGTGAAAAAAGTATGGACACTTTTATAAAAAGGATAGACACTTTACATATAACCATTACCTATTACATTATATAAACGATACCTATTACATTATATAAGGGCTACCTATTACATCATATGTTTACCTATTATATTGAAAGTGTCCATACTTTTATAAAAGGATCGATACTTTTTTTAAAACTTATGTAATTATGTTTCAATTTTTTAACAGTGTACTGCGAATTTAAAATGATAATATACTTGTAGTTATTGTACATACCTAAATATGTACTGCGAATTTAATGTTGTACCCACCCTTTAACTACAGAAACATGTTCAAAATGAACCTTCGTTTACATATCCATCAACTCCTGGAGCACTGAACTTGCACAACAAAATTTTTGCCATGGATAATACTGATGTAGACAATGTTAAGCCAACCGAGGAATGCCATGAAGTACATAATGTTGATGAATCTGACAGATTGGTTGGTCAGCTCTTCTGTTCACGTGATCAAGCTTGGCACTTTTACAAGGGATTCGCACGGGAACATGGGTTTAGTGCACGTAAGGGAACAACCGGCTTGACGTGGAAGGGAATGTGAAGACACAAGAATTTTGTTGTTCCAAAGAAGGGTTTCGAGTATCAAAAGTCAATACTGTTGATCGTCAACGTGCTCATACGCCAGTCACAAGAACAGGATGTAAGGCTAGAGTCGTAGTTACAGCAACAAATACAAACGATCAGTGGGTTATAAGTAAGTCTGATCAGAAACATAATCATGCATTGTGCACATCTGCTATGACACCATTTATGCGTTCTAATCGAGCTGTAAGTAAGGCTGATATCGAGGCAACAACATTGAAAGGTCGGTGTTGGCACGTCACAAGTAATGAACTATTTAACACAGCAGGCAGGGGGCTATCATAATGTTGGATTTACACATAAAGACCTCTACAATGCACTTCAAAGAGGTAAAGCAAAGGAAATCGTCGATGGGGATGTGAATGCGCTTATTGCCTACTTTGATTATAAGAAACATGATGATCCCGGGTTTTTATGACATACTCGGTAGACGAATCGGGGGCATTGTATAATCTTATTTGGTCGGATTCTACATCGAGATCGGATTACACATGCTTCGGTGATGTAATTGCGTTCGACACAACGTACAAAGATAATTTGTATGGTCGACCAATTATGCCTATTGTTGGTGTCAATCATCACCATAACACAATTGTGTTTGCCACTGCCATAATCGCTGACGAAACGTCTCAATCTTTCGAGTGGGTGCTACAGAATTTTTTAGAAGCCATGATGAATAAATCACCTATTTCTGTTGTAACCGATGGGGATAGGGCAATGCAGAGGGCTATCAAATCTGTTATCCCTTATGCTAAGCACAGATTATGTTCTTGGCATCTTTCTCGCAATGCACAAGCTAACATTGGTGACCCAAAGTTTACAGCAGCATTCTCAAAATGCATGGCTTCCTGGTGGACAACCAAGGAATTTGATATTCAATGGCGTTCGATTGTTTCAGAATTCAACGTCCAAAAGCATCCATGGGTGATTGAGAAGGGAAATACACGACACTTATGGGCACAAGCATATCTAACCGGTCATTTCTTTGCCAATATTCGCTCAACACAAAGGTGCGAGTCTATGAATGCTTCACTAGCTATTGCACTGAAACACAAGAAGACATATTTAGATGTTGTTCGTGCAATTGAAGATGGAATTAGTAGAATGCGTATGAACGAGTTGAAAGCGGATTACTTAAGTTCCCATACGAAGCCCTTCCAGATCACAAAACTGGTCGACCTTGAAAGCCATGCCGCTGCGATTTTACCCGCGAATCTTTTCGTGTGTTCCAAGATGAACTTACACGGGAGACATTGTACCGGATTGAGGCAGAGATTAAGTCCTTATCAGATGAATGTCAACATTATATTTTGTCAAAGTACGCAGAAAAAAAATAGGAAATTTGAAATTAGTTTTGATTCTCGTACGAAAACTCTAATTTGCTCCTGCAAAAAATTCGAGACCGTTGGACTTCCGTGTCGCCATCAACTTCACATTTTGAAGCAATTGGACTACACATATTTGCCCGGGACTTTGATTCAAAGTAGGTGGACTAATGATGCGAAGGCTTCTGCACCCAGCTATGTTGATTTGAATGTGTCTCCAGAAGTGATGCAAATGACAAGGTTCGCTGCTCTACGTTCAACGTCAAGTAGGTTATGCTACATTGCATCAAAGACAGACGAGTCTTTCAAAACCGCAAGAGATGAGATGAAAAAACTAATAGAAGAATTAGAAAACTCGTTTGGTTTTAATCATTCAGTCAACCAGAGCATTGTAGTAACAATGTTCGTGACCCTCAACGAAAACAACGCAAGCGAAAAGAAGTGCCGAAGAACAAGGTCGAGAAGCAAATTAGGCGATGTGGGTACTGCAACGGTGAGGGGCATAACAAACTAACATGTCCTCAAGTCAAGCTTAGTTTGAGTACAAGCACACAGCCTACATCAACTGATTTTTTCGAAGACGGAATGGAATGACAACGATCTCCATATAATATATCGTAAGTATCAACATCACTCCTATTGTATGTACATATAAATATTTTGAATGAAGGAAGAAAAACCGCGTTACTTCAAATTACCGACACTTTTTAATGGTATGGACATAAAGTACCGACACAATATTAAAAAGTGTCGATACCGGTTGTAGACCTATTCGCTCATAAAACCGGTATATTTATACCGGTTATATTACAAAATTATATATTACATTATAATTATGGGTTCCGATGTGTAAAATGTCGACACTTTTTTAAATTGTATCGACACATTTTCTTCCAATATGGACATAAAGTACCGACACAATATTAAAAAGTGTCGATACCGGTTGTAGACCTATTCGCTCATAAAACCGGTATATTTATACCGGTTATATTACAAAATTATCTATTACATTATAATTATGGGTTCCGATGTGTAAAATGTCGACACTTTTTTAAATGTATCGACACATTTTTCTTCCAATATGGACATAAAGTACCGACACAATATTAAAAAGTGTCGATATAGGTTGTAGACCTATTCGCGCATAAGACCGTATATTATACCGGTTATATTACAAAATTATCTATTACATTATAATTATGGGTTCCGATGTGTAAAATGTCGACACTTTTTTAAATTATATCGACACAATTTTCTTCCATATGGACATAAAGTACCGACACAATATTAAAAAGTGTCGATATAGGTTGTAGACCTATTCGCGCATAAGACCGGTATATTATACCGGTTATATTACAAAATTATCTATTACATTATAATTATGGGTTCCGATGTGTAAAATGTCGACACTTTTTTAAATTATATCGACACAATTTTCTTCCAATATGGACATAAAGTACCGACACAATATTAAAAAGTGTCGATATAGGTTGTAGACCTATTCGCGCATAAGACCGGTATATTTATACCGGTTATATTACAAAATTATCTATTTTATTATAATATGTTGAAAGTGTCCATACTTTTATAAAAATGATCGAAACTTTTTTAAAGATAGTAATTTATGTTTCAATATTTTTTAAGTATGTTTCATGTTTTCCACCTACAATATTAATTTAATAATTTCATTTGCACAAAAAATTAGTTGATTGTGTTGATATTTTATAAAATAATATTAAGAATTTTTAATTTAACAATAATATATACCGTAACGTAAAAAATTAATCATTAGACGCCTATGTTGAAACATTTTAATATTTCGATATAACAAATTAAGTTAAATGAATTTTAAGATTTTCCAAATGATTTTCTAAGTATATTCGATATAACTATTCGAATATCAAAACATTACTCCAAATATTTCAAAAATCATTTTTGATCCTTACTTAAGTGTAAAATTAAGTTTTAATCATAAAACAATTTCAAAATATTTTATAAAGTATTTCGAACCAATTCAAAGCCAAAAATTCCAGATTACTCAGAGGGAACCGATTCCCCCCCATAGGAGGAACCGATTCCCCCCTGAATGGTTTGGCTCCGAGATTTCCAGAATGCTCGGAGGGAACCGATTCCCCCCCAAGGGGTACCGATTCCCCCTTGTTCAACGGTCGAAATATTTGAATTTTACACTTAGGGAACCGATTCCCTATGAGAGGGAACCGATTCCCCCCACTGTCCAAGCTGTTTTATTAAATGTTTTCACACTAAAACGGCTATAATATCTTCTCTAATTATCCCCAACGTTCAGAAGTGATCCAAGGTGTATTTAAGCAAGCTTAGAAGCCATTGATCAAAAAGAAGAAACATCAAGCAACTAGAATCAAGAGAGAATCAAAGAGAAAGCATCAAACCTCAAGTTTGAGCATTTCAAGCCCATTTTCATTCAATATTCATTTTGCTTTCAAGAACACTTTTTGTGCTCAATTGTATTCATCTTTGAGTGTTCT